ATAATCTGTCATAATTGGCTATGCTAATAAGGATATATGAGGGCCTATAGGCCAAAACCTCTGGAGGGCCACAATTGTCCACCTTAAACTGGAGTATAATACTGTATATTGTCTGGTAAACTTTTTTAAAAAACACATTTCACAGATTTCATAATAAGAGTTTCTATTAGTGTGTCCTGACAGATGTTCTGAACTTGATTTTCCAGAATCTCTGACCATTGGCCATGTTGTCTGGGGATTCTGGAAACCCCATCTGGAAGGCTGGAGGCTGAGAGCTATGGGGTTAGTGAGTATTTGTAATTGTAACGCATCTGTTTTGTGAAGTTGCATCCACTTGAAAGGTCACCTAGTGACTTCAATTAGTGTATGGTGGTGCACATGCAAACAACAACTTATTGCATAAAATTATTTGTGCATAATTACACAGCAAATTTTGGCTGAGGAAGTAAGCACTTGGAGAACAAGTTTCGTTTTATCATACATAGAAGAAGTGGAATCTTGGTGATAGCTTTAAAGCAGGTTGTTTTGGGAGTTTTTACAAGTGATGCTAATAATGCCACTTAATCCTTCTGTGGATTTTGTTAATAAGAGTTAAAACACAGGCAAGAGATGTTCTGAAAAGGAACGTACCTTCTAGCCAACTGAGTTTGATTGTTACATAACAGATGATGAAGAATAAATGTTTTGCGTATGATGTTAAAATGCTCTTTTATTTATGAAGTACTGTATGTAAAAGTTCTCAACAGCTGCCTGTAGGACAAGAGTGCCCTCTCTAGGTGGCTTACAAAACCATCAATTGAGAATTCCACCAGAACTTCGGTAACTTTCACCCTATATTAACCCAGGGAAAGACTTGTTTACTGTATATGATAGGGATACTGTACTTCTGGACACCATTGTGCAACCACATGTGAACACCTAAGCACCACATTATAGCAAAATTCCACTGCTGTTTGTACATTGTTACATGCCTCCAACTTCCACTTGGGACACACTAGAAATACTATGGTCTACCGCAGCGGCTCCTTGGATAACCGAGGTGTTCCTGGACTGCAATTCCCAGAAGGCTTCACCACCAGCAGTGCTGCCTGGGGTTCCTGAGAATTGTAGTCTAAGAACATCTGGTTACCCAAGGTTGGCAACCAGTGGTCTACAGCCAAGTCCTCCAAAATTACTTCATCTGTTCAGACTCATAAGACAGAGACTAAAAACTCATGGATTAACAGCATGCTTTAAAAAATAAAAATAAAAAACACAGTACCACCCAATGGGATGAAAAGACAAATTTACAGAGCAAGGTGATCACCCAGAAACAGCATACTTGACAGAACTCCATTTGTAGTAACTCCTTTTGTAGCTCCCATTTGGAATATTCTATCAGAAATGACCTACAGCTTATTCTTAACATTAATACTTCCCCCTCTCTGGCTTTGGACAGCAAACCTCTCTGCAGATACAAAAAGTAAACAACTATTGACACATAAGAGGGCCCACAACAACAATACTGAGACGCTGATACAAACCTAGATGTCAACTATGTCCTCACCTTTCCTCTGGAAATCTCATAATAGGCTTCAACAATGTCACTTACAACACTGGGGTTTTACCTGATGTGATCTTTCCATTCATTTGCCAGCACATCACCTCTAAATTCTACATAAGACAAATGCGGCATTCACTACACAAGAGGATAAATGGACATAAATCTAATCTTAGAAATGATAATGCACAAAAGCCAGTTTCAAAACACTTCATCCCCCTAAAACACTCTACTACTAATCTAAATCTAATATAGAAAAAATAAATTACAAAGCAAGATTAGAAAGAAAGACAACTGAGGTAAGCTAAATGCACAAATTCTTGAGAGTGTCTAAAGGCTTAAATATAGACCAAAGTCCCTGAGTCTATATCTATATAAGAACATACAAAGAGCCCTTCCGGATCAGGCCAAGGGCCCATCTAGTCCAGCTTCCTGTATCTCACAGTGGCCCCACCAGATACCTCTGGGAGCGCACAAGACAAATTAGATACCTGTCTCCTGATACCCTTTCCCACCATCTAACATTTTGAGGTACCTTCTTTTTAAGCCTGCACTTATACATCCCCATCATGGCTTGCAACCTACAATGGACTTTTCCTCCAGGAATGTCCAATCCCCCTTTAAAGGCTTCTAGGCCAGATGCCATCACCACATCCTGGTAAATATATTTTCTTTCGTCTGTTCTCACTCTCCCAACACTTAGTTGGAATGGATGTCCCCTGGTTCTCGTATTGCGTGAGAGGGAAAAGAGCTTCCTTCTATCCACTTTATCCATCCCCACACATAATATGTGTAATCCCTCTGCCCAGTTGGTTTGGTTTGGGCTGGTAACTTTGGAGGACTTGTCCAGGGCACTGGTTCACTGTAGATCAGCTACCTCCCTACTTGCCACTTGCCACTCTTGGCTAATAAAAGCTGCCAAGGATGTCACTGCCGAGTGGGCTGTTAACAGTTAACATTGTTAATGCCTCACTGAGGGAAAGTTTGAAGGAAACTATTATCTAGTCCATTCTGAAGTGACTGAATTTGGTGAGAGACAACCTTAGCCAATATACCTTTAATGGGCAAGGTGAGAGTGCAACTTGGGGATGAGTTGTTGGCCCCTTGGGTCCTCAATTGTGGGCTCAGTCAGGGGTCACCAATCTCCTCAAGAAGCATTGAAGTGCATCTCTTTCAATAGGCCTTCAATGGCAGCCTCTCCTGAATTCTAGTGGCTATGGTATGCTGTGCCATCTGGGCTTAATACCAGTTTTCTGCTTGTTGCGGGTTTTTGTGTTGGTTTGTGCTACAGTATAGTGTTTTTATATGTACCCAACCCAGAAGAGTGCTGTGCACTAATAGGTAGTGGTGGTGGCGTCAGTGTCGGCATTGGCGTCTGTGTACTTTATATACTGATATAAATAAATAGTCACAGTTACTGATTTGTCCCTTAGATATAGGTCCAGGGTGGGATGGGGAGAACATAAGGTGCTTCCAGCTCATCAAATTCGAAGACTAGCCCATAGTTCCTGATAATGGTCAAGATATCAATGTACTCAACACTTTCAGAGTTCATTGATCATGTTAATAATACTACTGTGAAGTTAAACTATCATTTTCCGTATCTATATCTATTTTCATTGCTCCCCTCCCCACAATGTGTACTACATTTAACTCGTGGCTCAATACTGTATTTTACTTCATGTTTCTCAGGAAGTAGATTTTAATTTAATTTAACTTGTATACTGCCCCATAATGCATAGCACTCACTGGGCAGTCTACCACAGTAAATTCAATCAAATAGAACCCAAAACAAAATAACCATACACTTGAAATCAACAAATAATTTGTCCCGTGCCACAAGCAGACCCAACTCTAAATAAAATAAACATTTAAAACAACTTAAAATCTGAGGGCAAGATTAGTAAAAGCATTAAACGTTCTGTTTTCAGCCACTTTTTAAAGACTCCAGGAGAAGGAGCCAGTTGAACCTTTGCTGGAGGTTTATTCCAAATAGATGGGGCCACCACTGAGAAAGCACAATTTCTAGTGCTTACTCCTTTAGCCTCCTTTGGTGTCGCGATTCTTAATTTCACGGACTGTGAAGAGCAGGTGGAAGAGGTAGCTGTTTTGTAGGAAAATGTTTCGACAAGTATAGAGGCTTTATAGGTAAGAACCAGCACCTTGGATTGCACATGGAAACTAACAGGGAGCCAAAGAAGGTGTGCCTGAACTTAATTTTGATCTGGAAAAACTCACACTGAAATAAATCTGTTCATCCTTAAGGTGTCACAATACGTCCATAGTGATTATTTACTTGATTTTTGTTATATATACTTAAAACCTCAGTAATTCAATATTACAAACTAATTAATGACTTATGTTTTTAAGAATAAAACTAAGTACAGTATTAAAATAAAGTATACATGAAACAATGTCCTGTAAGTGGATCCATGTTACCTGTAGGAAAAGGCTGCTGACAGGAAATGCATACTTTGAGCTTTGCTGAAGAACTGCAAAAGAGGCCTAGCATGTCTCTGCTAGTAGTGAATTCCACACAGATGGTGCCACCACCCCAAAAACCATGCCCCTTGTGTCCATCAGTTTCAAAGGTGAGCTCAAAAGGAAGCTTCCAGCTGGTCACTTCAGAATATGTGTGTGTCTCTCTCCCCCCCCCCAATATGTTGTTGTGCAGAAACTGAATCACTATTTATTCCTCAGCCCTGGAGAAGCTGTCTAGGGCTAATGGCAGTGGCCCTCAATTTCTGGAGATTCACAAGTTCTCCACCCCTGATTTATAGTTTTACCAGCATTTTAAAGTTGCCACAGAAAAGCTGGGGCAAGTAATGCAACTGATATACCACATGATCTGATTGCCACAAGCCCTTGGGCAGGGGTATTCTGCACCCTTTGGAGCTCCCCAACAATCTTTCAAGGTAGTCCTTCCCAGATGATTCCTGGCCTCAAACACATCCCACCCCCAAAAAAACTGTTTACATGCCTGTAACTGACAGACTAAGCTCTGCTCCTTGACTTCGTGAAAAGGATCGTCCTGATTCTGATTGGAACGCATCTGCAAACAACCATAAGGAGAAAGCTAATACTCATAATAATAACAATACAAGAGGCGGGGGGGGGACTAAAGAGAGGGAAAGACTTCTAGACCGGTTCTTGTTTCCTTTTATTATTCTACCAACGTTGCCTGAATGTTAGCGGTGATATTGATGCACCTTCAAGATGCTGCTCTTGGAGGATCAGACACGCACCCTCCCGCCGGTTGGGGTTGGGGGGGGTGAGAGGGAGCAAGATAGTACCCGCGATGACTGCTGCTACTTCTGTTGCGGCCGTTCCCACAGGCTAAAGCACAGCACAGCCAAAGGAAGAAGAGCCGCGGCGGCGGCGGCGGCGGCGGCGGCAGCAGCAGCAGTTTCCCCTTCTTTCCCCAGCCCTGACTCTACGGGCGCATGCTCACTTGCGCCCGCAGCCCTGGACCATATTTGTCAGGACTACTCGAGAGACGGAGAAAAAAATATATAAAGAGAGAGAGGATTTAGGGGGGTAAGGAAGCGGATGGTTCCGATCGCTAATCAATGAACGGCAATGCACAATGC